TAGTGTCGATAGTGTCGATAGTGTCGATAGTGTCGGTGTAGTCAGTGTTGCTCCACTATCTCGCTCTGCTCGATAGTGTCGATAGTGTCGGTGTAGTCAGTGTTGCTCCACTATCTCGCTCTGCTCGATAGTGTCGATAGTGTCGATAGTGGGCAGATTCTTGTACAATTCTGGCTAACGGAACAACTGATGGTCTACCATGCGCACACTGGAAAGGGAGTCTACATCGACTCAAGTTTTCAATCAACCGCGACATCTCTTGCTCATCTAGCTTGTCGCCAAACATAATTGCTGAACGACAAGCTTTTGAGGTTATAATATCCAAAATCGCTTTTGGAAGATTATGTGAAGCAGCAAACCAATCATCTAAATTGAATGTTTGGTTTTTCACTTTATTGTTGAGATCATAACAATGTTGTAGTAAAACGTCCCTTATAAACTCGGCATCGTTACCAACTTTTGATAAAAGTATTTCTGGTAGTTTAATTATTGCTAGTGAATCACAATCTGTGATGTCGTATTCTACTCCAAATAACTTGAAATTAGACATGTATTGTTTGAAAAATTGTATTTCATCGTTTGAAATGGTGAGCATAAGAGATTTGGCAAGTCTTAGACCGGGATTTCCCCTCATTATTTTAACAAACTGTTGTATCATACATTCAACTTTTACTCTTTCGTCGCTTGCGTGTTGATCCAAAACGACAAGTGTATTCTCGTTGTCGTACAATAGTAAAAGAATGAACTTGTTCTCTATTTGACGTATGATTCTATATTTGCCGGATCTAAGTTGGAATTTTTCAAATCGAACACTTTTATCTAACGGCACAACATAATGATGATTTTCATCGCAGGGAAATCTATTTAGCTCTGTTTGTGGAGCAAGACCTTGCCTCGATATCTTTATTTCTTTTTCGCTTGTACTACCACTCAGCTTTGAATTGTCCAGTTTTGGCTTGATAGGACTTGGCAGAAAGGTAAAACGCTTTGTTTCATTTTCGTTTCGAGGAGGTTCACCAAGACTCACAAACTTGTTGAATAGCTTGCTGATGATGTTCACAATAACTGACCAAGAATATGGTTCCTCTTGAAAATTTTGTTTATTATCGCATTTAACATTGATCAAGAAACATGGGAATTTGTAAAATATCTTCCCTGTTGATTTTGTAGGAGACACATCTTGACTGAAGAAGCTGGAGCTGATGAAAATCTCATTAAAAACTGATGCAACTTTGTTTGTTAACAGTATTAGTCTATTGTTGACAAACACATATTGGTGCGCCTTTGAGTTTACAGCACGCAAGCCAATAACTCCGGAAACTTTGTACCCTTCATATGCTGCTTTTATTGATGTGAACCCAATATCAATTCCAAATATATCACCGAGTAGTTGCTCATACACACAGTTTGATTGCTTGAGATTGACTATGCATTTTGGTTGAAATTGTAAACATTGCTGATTAAGAACGGAAAGAGTTAAATGTACTGATGACGATACATTCAACAACCGGCTTAAAATGGCAGTTTTGATTTTGTTTAAGATCTTGTACTGCGGGGTTGACCTAAGTTGTTCTTTTCTTACTGGCAAATTGCCAAATAAATTCTTTACACTGTAAATAGTACCATCAGCGGGTTCCACTGGCAAGTTGCCAAATAAATTCTTAGTACCAGCGGGTTCCACTGGCAAATTGCCAAATGAATTCTTAGTACCAGCGGGTTCCACTGGCAAGTGGCTTTTCCTTTCTAGTAAGCCACTTTTTTTGTCTTGTCTTGTGGTGTACATTTGAGCAACCAAGCTCGTGTCACTGAGTTTCACCTCATAAGCACAATTGTAAGTTTGACATTTCGAGATTATTGAGAAATCAGACACAGCACTTATCGCATATAATGAGGGATTTGGGCCATGCGATTTGGAAGATGAACTTGGAATCAGTTCTAGTTGCGCTGGGTTGTATACCTCGCCATCGTCATGCAAGTATAGACTCGGCGAGATCAAGTCAACATTGATCAAGATACGAGTTGAATTGCGGTTTAAGCTTTCCGTGAGTAGTCGATCAAGTATCGTATCGATTGAAGTGAGTTCCAAGTGTGTGTTAATCTGGCTAATGACATGATCGTCTAGTTTCCTAATAGTAGGCATCTCATCTCCACTATGAGCAGAGCGAAATACTCTTTCTCTTTCTCTTTCTCAATATACTCTTTCTATCGACCAGACTGGTTTCACTCGTCTAGTCTCAACAAGCTACAAAGTTTAGGTGGCAGCTAGTCAGTGTGTAATCTATATTAATTATATAGTATTAATATTTGATTGAGCACACTTTTTTCATGGTAAAAAAACTAACCTCTGTGGTAACAGAAAAACTAAACTCGCTCTGGTTAAAAAAACTAAACTCGCTCTGGTTAAAAAAACTATACTCGCTCTGGTTGATAACAAAACACTCTTTGCTTGAGAAAAAAGGTGTACTTTATTTGTTGAAACTCATTTTTCGCTATATATTAGATTGACTATAAAATGGGTTTCAAGTGGTTACAGAATGGTGATTTCAACCAAACCTTTTTTTACACAAACAGACACATGAAACAGAAAAGTGTTGCTCAAATAATCAATTGTGGGTCCCACAGAGACAAAGAAAACGGCAAAGTATTGCTCGACATACAGTATGTGCCCCAATTCTAGCCAATGCTATCTCAAACAGACTTGTATTACTTTTCTTAATAAAACTCTATTACTAGTATTGCCGAGACTATCAAAGATTACATAAAACAGAAAAATGTTGCTAACCGATTTTGGGTGTTGCCAATTTTGGTTGCCATAATATGAGCACAGCGAGATAGTGTCAAGATTTTGTGTGCTCCACTATCGAGCAGAGCGAGATAGTGTCACTAGTCATTGTGCTCCACTATTTTGCTCTGCTCAATAGTGTAAAGAGTTAGTGTGCTCAATTAGTGTGTTCAATTAGTGTGCTCCACTATCTCGCTCTGCTCAATAGTGTAAAGAGTTCGTATGCTCCACTATCTCACTTTGCCTAGTGTCAATGTAGTCAGTGTGCCATTAATAATAAGGGTTATCTAAACGTATAGTATGATATCCAAACGTATGGTATCTAAACTATTGTATCTAAATGTATGGTATCTAAAGTAATGGCTCCTTAATTTATGGCACATGGTAGCTCTCCCACCTTTATAGTTGCTTTACCGAATGGAAGATTGTAGAATCTTCTTTGATTTGCAGCAACACTAAATCTGTTAGTGGCCGCCGCCCCCCCTTTTCGCTATTTGCAGCAACATGTTCCTGCTGCAATGGCAATGTATAACATTTTCCTACTGCAGTGGCAATGTACAACATTTTCTTTCAAGTTCTTTCCGGATCGTCAGGGTGACCTTGCAAAAGAAGCTATGACCTTTTATTTCCTCTGGTTAAGGTTACAATCTCTATGGTAAACTATAGTTTCTATATATATATATATATATATATATGTAGTTTTCTCCTTCTTCCTCTACTACTATACTTCTCCCTCCCTTCTCTCATACAACTCTATTAAGACAAGTCAAGGTAAAGTATAATAATATAGTAGTAGTAGTAGAGAATAAAACATGTCGAAAGCTGTTGGTATTGATTTAGGTACAACCTATTCTTGTGTGGCACATTTTGCCAACGATAGGGTGGAGATCATTGCCAATGATCAAGGTAATAGAACCACCCCATCATTTGTCGCTTTTACCGATACAGAAAGATTGATTGGTGATGCAGCTAAGAACCAAGCTGCTATGAATCCAGCAAATACCGTGTTTGACGCAAAGAGGTTAATTGGTAGAAAATTCAATGACACAGAGGTACAGAATGATATCAAACATTTCCCATTCAAGATTATCGACAAGGGGGGCAAGCCAAACATCCAAGTTGAATATAAAGGCGAAACCAAGGTGTTTACACCCGAGGAAATCTCGTCAATGGTTTTGACCAAAATGAAGGAAATTGCTGAAGGTTATTTGGGCACTAAGGTCAATGATGCTGTTGTTACTGTTCCAGCATATTTCAATGACTCTCAAAGACAAGCTACTAAAGATGCTGGTTTGA